TTATTTTACTCCCCAGAGTCGCTTTTCCTGGGTTTCTGAGTCATTCAGTCAGGATATTGGCCGGATTTTAACTTGGAAAGTTTTTTTTTCACGAAAATTTATTTATCTATGAAAACTCTGACCGATTTTCGTAAAACGGTGGAAACCGGTGTGGATCCGCGCCTGTCTATTCTTCCGTAAGATCGTCGAGATCGAGCGCTTTGCGTTTCGGGCTGCCATCTTGCGTGAGTGTCAATAGGCCCTCTTATCTTCGGTCGGATTTCGTAAACTTGTGACGTCACGCTCAAGTTAAATAAATGGTTCATCTGCACTTCGATCGTCTATATCCGACTTGTTTGATTTTTGGTGAGAGGTTTTGTCCCAGTTTTTTGATCATTCCTCGATTGATTCCAATCAATTCAAACAAGAAGATGCCACTGCCTCCGTTTAAAGGATGTTTTGATGTTTCAAGCCTCTTCTTACTCCCCGGGGAAAAGAACCTTTCAGTGGATGTTACTAAATAACATCCTTTGAGTGGCCCCAGATCACCAGGCTGTGTATCTATAAGGTGACAATTATACATTATCACTTCCTTATTGAATACATGTACAGTGTAAAAATCGCCATACTTATATTTCACACTTGAGGAGAAGGATCAATATTGTTATTTATTATTCCAGTATTATGTCATTTTACCATCTAAGGTCAAGAAAACGTGCAAAATATGAGGCCGTAATAATAATATTATTTAATAATATTTTTGTCTAATTTCGTTGAAACGTGGTCACTAGGTTTTTGCCTGGCGCTGGGCACATCCAAGCACCAGGCCAGTCCAGTGTCCAAAAAAGCGCCCAAAAATTAGGGGGCTTGCTGTCTTGGTCGGTTTAGCTGGATAGCCCAGGGACTGCCCTAACAGTGGGTAGGTGGATCAGGCCTGGGGGCCAAAATTAGTGGGGTAGGGAAGGGGCTATTTTGGCACAACCCCTTCAGTAAGCAGCAGTGTTCACTAGAGTCTTTGACTGGCAAGTACCGTGTTCTTAATTTGCCGTAGCCACTGAGCTGAATCAGGCCTCTGCTGAGAATGATAATGTTAATAGCCTTAGTCTCTATTTTCATATTTTGCACGCATTGTCCCGCCTCGAATATCCTTGCTAGCTGCGGGCAATACTTCTGTAAGTTTATTTGTTTATTAGTAAAGTTTTGTTGTTGTTGTTGTTGATAATTGCAGAGCTCAGTGGGAGGCACAGACAGTCACCCATTGTCCTGGGTGGGGAGAATCAAAGTATTGGTTTCAAGGACACACTTAGCATAGGACCTGTAGACACTCACTGAAGCCATGTTTACATAAATTCAGTCAGATTTATTTATTTATTTATTTATTTATTTAGGCTTACTTATTTTATTCTTTGTAATTAAGGTTTCAAATGAAAATGTGCTTAAACTGTGGGTTTTGGTTCGAAGCAATTGATACTTATTAATGAAGTCTTCATCTACATGATATCTACAAGTTATTTCTTGGGAAAGGTTGCCTATCAGGTCAGTGGATTTGTTCAAGATTTTTTAAATACTTATCTGAATGGTGGAATCAACATTTTTAATTCAACTTAAGTAACCCCTCAGAGTTTTGACTTGGCTTCTCGTTGTCTCATCAAAAGTGTCCCGTAAAAACTGAAAGGGTAGGGTCCAAACAATTTGGAAATGGTATCTTCCCATCTGCATTAGCCCTTCCCTCTCTGTAAATAATCCCCACTCCCTGATTTCTTTAAGGTTTTGCTTGAATATTAGTTTATAAGTGCACCTTAAAGCCTCTTCTGCTGTAATTGTTCCTTCAACTTCTTTCGCAGTAAAGGCATGTCATTCTAGAAAAAAAGAAAATGCTTTGTCATTCGATCAAGTAGAGCAGATGCTTAATTTCATGAAGCAAAAACAAACATGGAAAAGTAATTATTCAACAGTAAGATTGTTTTTCCTTGTTTGATCATCATTAAACTTCCCTTAAGTTTTCTTCTGAGTTATTGACCGTGTGATTTGAGTGGTGGATTGATGTTTGGTGCACTGTCGATCCTCCTTTCTCCCTCTATATGTTAATTTGTTTTCTTATTTCAGTATCAAAGTGTTGACCAAATTACTCTGGAATTATGCTGCTTGTGAAAGGCATCTCGTGTTCAACCGAAGTGCCCCATAGAGAGATAGAGGAGTACTTGCTAGCTATGATCTATCATGTAGGCAACTATTCTGGAAAGAAGTTTAGGTCTGACTTGACCTCTATATGGATGTTTGTTACCAAGAAAAGATGTCTTTACTTACAGTAGTTTGGAAATGCAGATTTTTAACATAGAAATTACTGTGAACCCAGATTAGTGTCTGTTAGTAAGAGGTGCTTGTTAGCTTAGTGGTGTCTGTTAACAGAGGTTATGTACAATACCTGATGGAAATTGGGGTTTTTTCCCCTGCTCACGTTCTGTGCAAACTGAATGACAGTCATACATGTTAATGCTACCACTTACAACAGTAGTTTAAGAACATGAGTGATGTTCAGGATACTGAAAGTTTAAAATATTACTTTGTCTAACAATGTAAATGATAATAATTATAATCATTACTATAATTACATTATTATTGTATCAATTACAATATTATAGTCATTGCGATTACAAATTTTGGCAATACTATGCAAAATATGCTTACCATGCAGACAAACTCAGCCGCAGTCATAGCTGTTGGCTTGAAACCTTTGGAATTTCCTTTAATGTAAATAGCAGGGGGTTGGCATGCCCCCATCCCCCTTCCCTACCACCACTGCAGCCATGTTTCTCAACCCAAAATTGGTCAAGTGGAAATGTGAAGATTTAAATGAATACCAGTTGTAACATCTAGGGCGTACTTTTCCTACCCTCCGATGACTCAAAAAGCACCATGAAGCAGTATTGTTTTAGCCTTTGTTTGAACAACTGCCTACTTATGCATACCCGGCCAACTGTCTATAAATTGGGGATTCTATGGACACGGTTAAGATCTCAAAGAGGTTTGCTTGTGCCAACAAACTAACAGGCTTTTGTACATTATGCTTTTGCTTCCCCACTAAAATGCTCCACCTTAATGCTTCATTTTTCCCACTAAAATGCTCGGTCTTCCCAAAAAAGTCACTAAAATGCTCGGATAATGCTCATTCTACAAACGGTTTTTAAAATTAATTTTAAAGTTTACACTTACAAAAACATGCAAGTGTTGCAAGTAACAATGGCAACGTGTACAAGTTCATAAATACAGCCAAAAGAAACAGCTGTATAAGGTTTTTTGTGAATTTTGAGTTTTAGTCTTCATTTTCTTTTAAAAAGCAGGGGCTCATGGGGCATGGGCTCCTGAAAAAAGTTAATTTCTATTTTATTTTCTCGGAAAAAATTAATTTTCCGGGGAAAATGCCTCTAAAATGCTCGAATAATTAATGCTCAATGCTTTTGCCTCACTAAAATGCTCGAAAAAATGCTAGCATAATGTACAAAAGCCTACAAACTAAGCAAATGACATTCTGGGAAACTGGAGTAGGGCTATGGTCAACGGCCCACTTTGTATATAACAGTGACGGATCTAGGGGAGGGGCCTGGGGAGCCCGCCCCCCTTATTTTTAGACCAAACTGAGGCCCAAAGGGCTGAAAAAATTTGTTTTGGAGACCAGGCCCCCCCCCTTATCTCAGGGTCTGCTGACTGCCCCCTTATCTGAAGGTCTAGGTCCGCCATTGTATCATAATATAGCTACTACTCACCTGTGCCTCCAAAGCCTTTGCTTCCCTTGTAGTCCTTGTAGCAGGAAAATGTTATGGTATTTCGAGTCTCAAAGTCTTCGATTTAGCTTGTGGGCTTCTTCAGGGGATGAAACAGAAAGTAAATTATCAGGCAACTTAGTGCAAGCTTTGGCTTTCCGTTGTTTAATACTGGTACACTTAGCTTTCTTTGCTGTCTTTCTTTTTTTTGTGAATGTTTTGTGTAGCTGTGTGTGGTGTGCGGTACCTTACCATAATAACATGATCATTTATTAATAATCTAAGCATAAAGGCTGCCCTATCTTTTTATCCCCAAATGGTTATTATGGGTTGCCTGTACTCTCTCTATATTTTTATCTAATCTTTTTGTATCATGTAAATCAATGTAGGGTACAAATAAAGTTGTTGTTGTTGTTACAAGCATTCATTATTTAATATTCAACAGAGACAGACATTACAAACATGGATAATTCTCTATTTTTTATATTCCCGCCAATATTTGAAAATTGAGTTTTATTTGCTATTCTTCATGAATGCCATTTGATCCGGGGCCATTCAAGGGATGTTAGTCAGCAACATCTGCTGAAAGGACCTTCTTGATGCGCTAAGAGGCTTGATCGAGGCGAAACATTTTAAAAAACATCCTTTGAACAGATGCAGTGGCATCTTCTTGGTTGAATCAATCGAGGGATGATCGAAAAAGCAAGACAAGATGTAGACCTCGAAGCAAACATCAGATCATAAGACAAAAATTAATCAGAGTGGACGATCGAAGCGAAGCTTACATGAGTCACAGGGAGAACCACAAGGCGAGCGTGACGTCATACGAAATCCGACCGAAGATAAGAGTGTCTTTCGACGGATGTTAACGAGTGCTGACCCTCTCTTAACGAGTGCTGACCCTCTCCCTCGCTTCTCTCCTTCCCATCACACACTGCGCGCCACTAGGGAGAGATAGTGAGAGACCAATGTGGACGAGTCAGGCCGGGACCCGTGGGTGATACCACCCCATGTTGAACAGCAATCCTTGACCAAACCAAAAATCCAAAAAAGAAACAGCCGTGTTCGTGACTGCTAAAACTCAGGCTCACAACTTTACAAGATCGTGGGTTAGTCCCGGTTATAGCAAGTGCACCCCGCTCCCTTCCACCGAGGACAAGTTAGCCAGCCCCTAAAATGATTGTAAAGTGAAGACAGTAAATTTTACAATCAACAAAGATTTACGCCTTGGAAACCGTAACAACAACAACTGAAACAATTCGTCGGTTTTGTTAACTAATTTATATCGTCTAGTACTCAAGAAAATGAAAAACAACGGTAGGTCTTAAACGAAAGCTACATTTAACGTTTTTTTTAATTAAAATAGTCATACAGATACGATTATAAATGACAAGATACTTCAAACTCAATCTAGACGCTTTCAATTGTATCAAAAGCAACACACGGTTACAAAATTATAAAACTACCTTTTACCTTAAGTGAGTAAAAATGATGTTTGACATCTCATTGCTTTAGACTATGAAATTTTTAGGTGATAATTTATGAAACAGCTAGTATTAAAACTATTCTTTTACACCTTTTGAAGTTAAAACTATATGTATCTTCTATACGGTAGGTCTTACACGAAAGTCACATTTAATAAAACTACCTTTTACCTTATGTGAGTAAAAATGATGTTTGACATCTCATTACTATAGACTATGAAACTAGTTTAAATTTTTAGGAAATAATTTATGAAACAGCCAGTATTAATATTATTCTTTTACAACTTTTGAAGTTAAAACTATATGTATCTATCTAATTGAGTACCTTATTAAAAATACACTTTAACGCCAAAAACAAAAAAATATACTATATATGACAATTAACTGAGATTTTCAAAACTAGCACAAATGATATAACTGGAAAATGATGCGATGTGTAATGCTACATCTTCGAAATTGCATCAATGAAACGTGGTTATTCGTTAATACGACGCTTAAGCAATAACGACGACAACGACGACGTCAACGCGAACGGTCAAAAAGCAAAAGGTTTAGTCGGCAAAACAAAAACTTTGCCCGTGCATCACGCTTTTTTGTACATTTCATTGCCGTCACACACGACTACGACGTGAAACTGCCTATTTTCACAGTCTTTTAGAATTGAACTCCACAAAAAAATTGCCAGCATTTGACTAAATGATGGAGATGGATATAAGCGCGATACAGTTTGAAGCAGCGCGACTTCACTTTTTAAGTGACGTTTTCGTAACCGTCGCCGTCGTTGTTGCTCGAACTCCCTATTCAACAATGGCGACTGGCGTTACAGGAAAAATGACAAGTGTTAGAGGTATTTTTTTTGATACGTTATATCAAGGCGAACGCACGTACACGACAACATTGACTGGTAGAAAGTACGTGGTCGACTCAAAAATTGGTCCATTGCTCTACGAGCCCGTGAACATCAACTCTCCAGCGGTAAGGCTCCCAGCGGTCTGTGTCATGCGCACGGACAACCCTTACAGATTGTTCTTCTTCTCCAATCTCTGCATGGACATCCAGGGGGAAGCCGTCATCACTAGTTAACGCAAAGGCTTCAATCCTTAACACGGAGGCAATCTGATCACAAAAACAGTTAAATTAGTACTATACACTCTGCGTTGGTTAGGAAAACTAAATGTCGCGTCCTACGCCAAATCTAGAGTCCTACAAGGCGATTTCAATTTTTCAAGTCAGTGGGTGAACTCCTTAAGTGTCAAAAACAGTGCCACTGAGCAGTACTCCTTTTCTGTACAAGGTGGTTCTAACTTTTGAGTCTGTGAATGAAATCCTTACGTGTGACCATTCAAATGAAAGCTACTGAGCAGTACTTTCCTGTTGTACTGTTTATTATGCTGTACAAGGTGGTTCTAACTTTTGAGTCTGTGGGTGACACCCTTTAGTGTGTCCATTCAAATGAAAGCTACTGAGCAGCACTTTTCTGTGGTACTGTTTATTATGCTGTACAAGGTGGTTCTAACTTTTGCGTCTGTGGATGACATCCTTTAGTGTGTCCATTCAAATAAAAGCTACTGAGCAGTACTTTCCTGGGGTACTGTTTATTATGCTGTATACGGTGGTTCTAGAAATAATGACAAAAAAAATGATCCCTGTCATATCAAAATCATGCCATCATGCCACCACGCCATTCAGTCTATCACGGACTGTGTCCATTTCAGCTATAGTTTTGTTTGTTTGTTTTTGTAGTTTTGCTACAATCTGAATCGGCGACAAAATTGTGAAGACATTGTCCTTAAATGGGGTAACGTCGGAGAACAAAACAATCCACCCCCTCTGTCCCCTCCATTCAAAGAGATGTTTGTTGTTTTCTAGGTAGCTTGAACAGCGGCACAACATTGCATGGAGGGATGGGGGAGAGAAAGTTTATTTTCCCTTTTTTTATGTTTATAGAACGTTAGAGATGTCCTTTAAGGTAAAAGTGTCTCAACTAATTTTGTCGCCGATTGTAGCTTTAATCTTCATGTTATAAAAAGATTTTCACATTGATCTTTTCAGCTCTTTTACATTTCCATGATGGTCTTTGCCAGGCTGCCATAGGTGGTGGTGTCGTTCACATATTAAACATTAGGTCCCCATCAATGTTCTTGATATGAAGCTTGGTCAGGTCTGATTACACAGCAACAAGGTATCGTAAAGTACATTCACAGGAAAATTTTTATTTGACAAGGGGAACGGGTAAACCCCATGCAGACATTCTTTTCGACTCGTCACGCAATCCTCCCCAAAAATGACGAGCCAAAAAGAACGTCTGTGTGGGAGACTAGGAACAGGGAAGGAGCGTGGGAAGGGGGAAGTGCCGTTTAAATGAGAATGTAAGATTTAACTAAGGACACCTAAGTAGTCTCCCACACGCAGCCGTTTTTGTCTCGTCACGCCACGCTCCTCGTCTGAACACGTATTCTAAGAGGTGAGCAAAACTAGACTAAAAACTTGAAAAACGTCAGCTCAATTTTCGATTTTGGAAGTTGTTGTTACGTAAAATTCATCGATTGTGATTTGCTTGCGTCTAAGAAGATGAATATTTGTCCTTCTCCTGTTGTACAAAAGAGAGTCGTGTTTTGTCATCCGGTGCGTCCTATAATTCTAACTTAATAATATACACGGAGCTTTCGGAGAATTCATTGATACTCTTTTAACACCTTCCGTGGAGCTTAAGCCCACAACGGCTTCCACCCTCTCTAAGTTCGGTCTTCTTGCTCGGGAAGAGAGCTGGCTCATTTCCGAACAACATCCAGTAATCGACGAAGCGACGGCAGCAAACGCCACTTATACAGGTGTATAGCACAAAATTTTCCTGGGAGCGATATTCTTAAGGGCCACCTTAAGGTTCACTAAGAGAAAAAACATTGGTATACACTCAGGACAGTGGAGGCGAAACCTCCAACCCGAACTTTCGTATCTAATCTCTCCTTACCACTACACTAATTGACATCGACCGGCCAAAATTCCGAAAAACTTAAATACATGAACTAGCAACAGTCTTTCTTAACTGACACATCAATAACAGGTCACCCAAGCCCCTGCCATAAGTTTCAACGTAAAGTTGAAGTTAGACGTCCACGTCGTGCTCTTTCTTAAGACTAGTATTCAACAGCGAATTATTCACCTTATTGCAACTTAATCCGGAAATATATTACATAAAAATGGCAACGACCGTTTACGAAAGGGAAATGCGCCATCCTCGAGATTAGTTAAACCTCTAATAACTACATTAAGGGCGAGTTTAGTCTGTACTGACATAGAATATGACCACTTTTCAGATGTCACACTGCTATCCAAATTGATTTGATCTAGAGGTAAATAAGAACATACAGTGGAACACCGTTAATACGGTCACCAAATGCCTGAAAAATTTGCGCATTAATGGGTGACCGTATTAACGAGGTTGTTTTACAAGAAAATGTATGGCCGTTCTGCCAGGCGGCCATAATAAAGTAGCTGTAAAAACAAGGTGACCGTGTTACCGAGGTGACAGTAGGGCGGGTTTCACTGTATCTATTAATGGGCAATGGCCTCCATTCACTTAAATTGATCGACGTACTGCGCTTGTAGGGCGGAATTCAACACAAGATATCGCAGAGATAAGTTAGTCATGTTTTTTTATACATTATCTTGCTACTTCAATTAAGACTACAACAGATCAGTTCCAAGGCAAAATAAAAGAAAAATATTTTATTTCTTGCATAATTATTGACAAACCCCACCCCAGGAAACCTCTATTCATGGAGCTTACCATTTGACGCAAAATTTCGGAAATTCCAACCGAAAATTGAGGAGTACGTTTTGAGGTAGTCCTTTCATTCCGGTTGGTACGAACCAAACAGAATGTTGCTTACCATTAACCGGTTCCTTCTCGGTTCCAGACTCACGCTACACAAATTTGTCCCTTTGGATTTAAACCGTAACGGATGTGGCAATTCTGCGGTAAACTGGTAAATTGCTTACCATTATGCTTTCGACACCCCAACCGGATTTTTCTGTCAAATGGTAAGCACCCTTGGTCCCGAGGGTGTTCCCTGAATAGAGGTCCCAATGTATACACCGAAGTTACCTACCAATTAAGCTTTCAAGATCAAAATCCTCCTGACTGCTCAGTAGATTGATGTCATTATCCGTCATACTCGAATTTTCAGCAATGCCGTTTAAGACCAGTCTCTCCAGCTCTTCGCCTGACAAGCTCCGAAATAGCTCTAGGAACAGGAAAGGCAGGTTTATTGCCACAATTCACAAGCAATCCCCCCGTTTTTTCTCTTGCGGTACATTTATCGGGCTGTTTGGCACACCGTGGTAAAAACGGTCACACTTGAGTTTGTTTCCCACGGTGCTTGCTGCGTGTAGTGGCTATGAAAATTTGCCGCGTAAAGGCGCACTCGAGGGGATTTCCACGCCTGCCACGTACGCACATAAATTTTACGTGCATTAGACGATACGGCACCTGGTACCAGAGGCTTTTTCGCGTGGCGCGAGGAGCTTGTCCGTCGTAAAAGATTACGTCTTCGGCCAAAGGCCGAAGACACGAACGGCGAAGCTTTTTGCGCAGGTCATTTTAAAAGACTTAACGGAAACCTGAAACCGCCCATGAAAAGCCTCTGGCACCCAGGGTAACGTTGCAGGGAATGTCGCGCGTAAGCATAAAAACTTGAACCTCGCTCAACTCTTACGTTTAAGCGCGACGTTTCACTGATACATTGCCTCTTTTTTTATTTACGCACGTACGCAAGTCAAAATCAGGCGACCGTGGAAGTCATTGGCTATTTTACCGCTACTCAGGAAACTCGCGATAAACACTACTGCATTAGGCAGCTGTCATGGCTCGCCACTTCCTTCGAACGTCTCCATGGTTATAATTAACCTTCGGTAAATGGTAACATTGGGCGAATCAACCCTATTCCAGGGTAAATGACTTTTGGGCGAAACAACTTTACACCCGGTAAATATATCTTGGTGAATCGATGTCCCACACCGATTTCCCGAGAAATGAGTGAGATGATGATAGTTTATGTGACTGGATCATGCAGTTTTAAAACTGGTCACAGATAGACGAAAATATCAAACAACCACTTAAAACCGAAGAAAAACTCTAAAGGGCAATGAATGAGCACAATTGGCGACGTATGAAAGTGATTGTAGCTAAATCAACTAGAAAATCTGCACTCGCATAAACTTTCAAGTTAAGCTCAAATTGTATGAATTAGAATACTCAGGAATCATCGTTGTTTGTTAAGTGACCGTGATTTTGTTGCTAAGGGTGCGTTCGATTGATTGTATTCCGAAATAAGAAGATACTCAAATGTCTTGTTACAAACCTCTTCTACTGTAATTTTTGGACCATTTAAACGTTGCATACATGTACATCGGAATCCCGGGCCCAGATCGGAATATTTTATTTCAAGCAGAATTTTAGATATAGCAAAGCAATGAAAGCCAAAACAAGTCATATTCCATTTATTACTTATTCCGGAAAACGCTCAATCGAACACGCCCTTAAAGACATCTATCAAGAAAAAGCCCCTTTGAAAAGATTGGTGCAAATGTAAAGATGACAAGATTTCTTTATCTTCATACTAACCACTTTGCAAGGAGTGCAACTGTTCTTCTGCTGACTGTAGTTCTTGAGATGGCTCGATGTTAACAGCCCCATTCACTTGAGGCCCATCGTGTTCAATATCATGGCTTTCATCATCATCATCACCATCATCATCATCATCATCATCTTCTCGACCTGACACAGGTGATGAGTCAGCCAAACTGCTGATCAAGGAACTAAGACTGCTTTCATAATCAGGATCGTAGCCAGGAGAAAAAAAAGGAATTGCCATGTTGGAGACATCTTGGGCTGTAACACAATCGGTAGAAAAACATAATTATAATGAAAATTATTACAGTAAACCACATAAAACACCATCTACCATCTCTAATGAGCTCCCCCCCCCTTGAGGGAAAAACGTTTAAAAAAAAGCATCCCCCTTATTATTCTTCACTGATAAATGATAGACTGCATCCATCAATAACTACTGTAAAACTTCACGTGGGCAGATCCAGGATGGTTTATTCACCAGCTGGAAGTTCGGATTTGTTTTTGATCCTCGCTGCATGACCTCTCTTTTCTTGTACTTGACATTTTCCACTTTGTATTCTTGTTCTTTATGGGGAACTGATACCATAAGCCCCTCCTTTCCTCCTCTCAAATAAGCACCCTGTCTCTATTGAACCCACCTCAAATGTGTTTGAAATAAGAAGATTTACGGTAGTGCAAAAATTTATTTACAGAAATGATGATAATATTCAGACAAACTTTGTAGGCTCAGCTACATGGCCAATGCATTACAGGGGCTGTCACGTCTGTCGAGTTCATTCTGTTAATAACGCCAATTACTCGTCCTTATTCGCTATGGTAATATTACGAAATTACTTGTGAATGACTACAAACAGCTTCGTGTCAACAAATATGTCTTTCAAGCATTATATCAAATGTTACAAACAACAAAAATGAACTTTGAAAAACTGGAAGGCTAACTAGTTTTCAAAAAACACAATTGCAATCCGTTTCAATCTTCTTGAAGTTTGTCTTACTCTATCTTTGTCTCCTTTTGTAGCGGAGCGTCCGCGCATGCTTCGGAGCCCCATACAGCCTAAGAGTAAATGAATAACCTATCGATGCCAGAAAATTTGGTTATGAGGTCAGCGTACGCCCGTACATACTCTGGAGGTAAGCGTTAAAAACTCAGTAGGGTAGGGAAGGGAATCCCAGACATATACATTTAATAGGGCCATTTATACGAGGAAAAATAAGACGCGTCTTAAATAAGACGCGAACTTTCTGCATAAGCGGCACATTTCGTCTAAAATAAGACGCGACTTAGCTAAAACGCGTCTTATTAGAACAGCCCTTAACATCTGTTCTTAGATAAGACGCGTCTTAGCTAAGACGAGAAAAACTTCGTATAAATGACCTTCGCGTCTTACATAAGACGCGAACGCATAGTACGCATGCGTTAATTTTTGGCGGGAAAATTTTCGCGCCTTGTTGGTTGCCGTTGCTACGGGTAACACTCACATGAAAACGAGTCAAGAACAGAAATAAGAAGCGAACCATTTATACGAGCTGTTTTCGTCTCAGATAAGACATGCTCGTATAATTGGTACAGTTCGCGTCTTATTTTTCCTCGTATAAATGGCCCTATTGTGTTTCGTTTTGCCGCAAAATTAACCATTTAGGGGAAACAAACCCAGATATATTTCACTCAATTTGGTGGCAGTTACCCCGGTTTGACTTTTGATAAATTTCGTGACACAGCTACTTTAAATGACATGTAGCTCACCTGTTACAAAAACTTGGTGTTTCAACAGTTCTTTTGCGGTGGGTCTTTGCTTTGGTTCAAGCTTAAAACCTTTGTTGAAGACATCCTCAAGTTCTGGGCTGCAGGGAGGAGAGGGTGGGGGCTCTTTTGCAGACCCAATCTGCAACGAGAAACAAAAGATGACCAGTTTATTTACCTTGCTAACCAAAAAGAACAACTGTTCACCAAACGATAAAAGAACAAACAGAACCTTTTTTCGGTTCAGTTTATTGTGCTACACAACGCGGTTCTAACACTTAACAAAAGAGACCTTTGGATTCGAAGACAAGCACGACAGTAACTTAACATCTTTTTCGCGTTTTCTCAAAAAATTGACACCCGGGAAAGCTTCATTGCACTATTTTTCACCAGAAAAGTTGGCAAGGAGGTTAATCCCTATTACGATCGCAAAATGATTAAACTTCTAACATTTCTTGTAACATCTGAGAACTTGTCACCGCCACTACGAGTGAACTATCAACGACAACTACAGATTGTCTGTTTTCATATCATTTTGTGAGATTCGAAGAAAGCAAAACAAGGGCTCGAAAAAGAGTCCCGTCCAGTAGAGCGGGTATAGTAGATTTTCTTGCAAGGTAAGTAGAGCAATTTTCGTATGACCTTGAAAAATGGTTTCGGCAAGTGTTCGTTATTTGTTTTATCAGCCCATGGATGAAAAGATCAAAACATGGCCTCTTCGTTTTCTCGCCAAAGAAAACCGTAATATGGAGAGGCATTGTTCGATTGGCCAATCGTGTTGCAGCATGACGTCAAAGTGAATTATCGATTGATTTTGAGAAATCCGTTAGATAAACCAATCAAATCGCTCGATTTCCGTTCGTTTGTTGTTTCTGTTTTATTCGCGCGTTTTCATTTCAAGGTCAAACGAAAATTGCTCTATTTAACTTTTTACCATGTAAGTCTTAAGAGTGACCAACAACAATTTTCTCCTCGCAAAAGAAACGGTTACAAGATTTAATAAAATGATCACCTCAGGGAAAATGCTTTGATCTTTTTATCAAATTCTCTCAACTAATTCTTTAAGGAAATGTATGGAGATCAGTTTGGAGAATTTGCCATTGTATATCGGGACTTAAAGGGTTAAAGATCACTTGCCCAACGGGCAACACCGAGAAATGCCCAGGAATGCAAGATAATAAGACTCATGTTCTTTATGACAGACATAAAGGAATTAGTTTCCCCTAACCCTAATCCTCACCTAAAACACAAGAAATTCAGTCTACTGAAATCATATGGCAATTAGAAATAATTGTCTCATACAAAGTAATAAGTTCGGAGTTTTCTTGCAGTTTTAGACATGAATGTGGCAAAATGTGAAGGCTGTTTTCCCAGAAGACAAAATACCACGATTTGAGAACAAGCCATAATTTGCTTATTTTTTTAAATGTTATTGTTCAATGGGCTAATTGTTAAAGGGAAATTTCAAACACACTTCTAGTAATTCGTTGAGTCCGTTGGGTGTCCACAACAATGATCTCGACCCTCCTTCGCAGACGTTACGAGCGAAGCCGGTGAAAATAGCCATCTCTCGCAGCCGGCGACTTTTGACAACCCTGAAGTTAGATTACGTCCACGACGCAGGCTATGGCATTACCTTATATAACAAAACCAGACGATGTGAGTGGCGATATTGTTCCCATGGATGAACTCCTTTCAACATCTGATAAAGAACGCACATCGAACTCCAGATATCAGCACTGAATGAGTGACGATCACTACGGCAGACCTGGTTAAAAAACAAAAAACAAAGTACGTGATTAATGTAACACAACTGAAATTTTACCATAAATACCTGGGACTCCACACATAATAACCAAGAGGGCTATTGACTAGCCTTCGAGCAGGCTCAGCAAGTTTCAGGAACATTTTGGTGGCGCGAGCCATGCAAATTCAATAAAGTTCATAAAGTTCATAAAAATTTCACTGAAAAACTGTCAAGTGTGTCCATCTTGGAAAATGGTGAATTTAATGTTTCCAGCGCTTATTATTTTTGGTTGTTCATGAACAGCTCCTCAAGGGAAGTGAGTATACAGTTAAACCTCCTGTAACCAGCAATCCACCCTGCCCTTGCCTGCGTAGCAAGCGTTTCCGTTTGTTTTCGGAGCAAAAAAAGATCGTGGAAGGGGACTTTCGGTTTTGACCGCGCGAGAAATGAAACGAGAACCAACAAAATTTTGTTCCTAAACCGCACAGAAACGCTTGCTACGCAGGCTAACCCTGCCCAGAAAACTAATGTGTTCTTAAGATGCATGCACAAAAGGAAGATCAAAATTGAAAAATGCAGGGTTTGTTTCTAAGCAGTTGAGGCCATGACCAAGTGTCTGCTTATGAGAGATGTCTGCCTCAAGTAAGGGAGGTTTCCAATTATTGGGTGTTGAGGGGATAGAGGTTAACTGCAATCAACTGTAAATAATTAACAATTATTCCACAAGTGCGCGTTGGATATGAGATGGTAGAGAGTCAACGAGGCGCGTAGAGCCGAGTTGGCTATAACCATCTCATATCCTACAAGCACGAGTGGAATAATAAATTGTTTTATTAAAAACGCCCACAAAGTATCGAGAATTCTTCCAGACTTCATTTGTAAAAACAACCGATTTTCAGATTGTTTTTAATTTTGAGCAGACGCATACACATGTACAGTTACCATATTTGGAGAGCATGGTATAATGGCTCATATACCATGATGGCTAAGCCAATCAGAGCTCTAGAATTGAATATCCAATGATTCAGCTTTAATAATAATAATAAGAAGAACCAGTAGCACTGTATCATGATTATTACCTCGGGTGCCATAAAAGGCTCTGTTCCTCGAGGAAAGTCATCCTGTTGATATCCGTTAGAAAGCCAGATGCTTGTTCCAAAGTCAGCTAACTTTACTTTTTCCCCTGTTTCATCAGTGAGAATGTTTGCTCCTGTGAAAACAAAAATGACATGTTTAATCTAAAACACGACTCACGCTGAAAAGTTGTGTTGATGTATTGGAATTACTATCACAGCTTAAATCACTTGTAGTGTTTACGCAGGGTTCTCATTAAGTTTCAAAGTAGGCAGCTATGTGATGTAAATATAGGCGGCTTGGTAACGGCTTGAGTGCTGTAGGCAATTTCAGGCTTTCACCCTCTCACTTTCCCCTTTTTTCCCAAAAGGTAGACAGCTCAATCCTTCAAGCAGCTGGTTTTTTAGCCCGTAGCCGGCACTTAAGGAGAACCCTAATTGAAGGTACACCTGTGTTTCTGGTAGCCTTTGGAGCAAAATCTTATTAAATCTGCCGGCATGTTGCCACACCAAATTTTGTGTTTTGCATCCCTTTCAGCATTCCCATTGAAGAGCCTTAATATAAATTGGGTAGATTTACAGTCAGGCCAGGTCAAGTGTACCTCTGTATTCCTGCATAAGTAATAAGCAGTGAATTCGCATGTGAAGTAGTTATAAAAATGAAATTTCTGTCAGCTCGGTTTTCTTGAATTTGATGTAAAATGTAGTCCTCAAAGCAACTGAATTTTATCCATTCCAAGATTTTCCAATCTGACCGAAGACAGAGGAGTAATTGAGAAAAAATCACTGCTTATTATGCATGCAGGAATGCAGATTTGAATTTGAGACTGGTTACGGCAATGACTAATAGATTCATGAATGAAATCTTTGGGGGTACACTAAGGGCTTGACCTGCTGTGAATGTAAAGGGTACTTTAACTGCCATAACAAACCTTTAATGTCCCGATGTACTATTCCTTGAGAATGCATGAAGTCCACAGCAGAGAGAACCTTGCAAAAGATGTGGCATGCCAAAGTCTCATGCATTTTCCCAACGTGATCCACAGAGCCCCCTGTTGCAAATTAAAAAAGAAAAATGACAGATAACTTGAAATACGACTGTTTTGCAAAACCTCATGACCTCATGGGAAAATAATGCCACCTAAGTTTAAGGGACTGTGTCACAGCTTGCTGGCCAGTTCATTTTGTTTACAATATTAATTACACATCCTTATCACCTATGAAACATTGAAGCTCTGTGTCAAATAACTATTATGTCTCCCAAGCATTATTTCAAACGTTACAAGCAACAATGTTTTCTTTGTCCCACCCTCATGACATGTTGATCATTTCATTTTCACATTTGCTTCACTGAGCTTAAAATTTAGCATCTTTTATTTTGTTCACAACAAAAATGAACTTTGAAAATCTGCCAGGCTAACCAGTTTTCAAAAAATACAATTATTGCAATCTGTTTCAATCATTTTTCTTCAAGTTTGACCATCCATGCCATGTTTGGAGCTTTAATTTATCTTTACGTTTCACTCAATTTGGTGGCAGTTACATGTACCACTGTTAAAATTATACGCAGCTCCTTTAAAAGCGCTTACCATAGGGCTGTCATTAAGACCTGGGGGCCGGGGATTTCCCCCGCCTACCATGAACATGGCCCTGGGCTACTTTCATAGAAAAAAAGAAGACATATAGAACCAAAAGAAATCCCTTGCTGTTTTATTCCCCACCTACTTGTTGTACATGCAGTTACCCAGCTACTTGACTTAGTGACATCCCTGGCTAACACCATATTTGGAAGATGCAAGCAATATACCACTGATTTGATGGTATGATATTTATTTGCATGGAAATGAGGTTAACTGATGACTTTTTGATTGTCCACCAATATCTTTCTATATCATTCAGGTTTAAAATCTTTTCAAAAATATCATAGCTAAAATTTCCCCTTATTTTTAAGCACCTACGTTCTTAGTTGACATTAAGCTTGAGAGATTAAGAAGAAATTCCCTTCCTAACAGAGAGAAATTTTCTTGCCTTCCATGTATTCCATGAAAATGGTGAATTTTCCGTCATACTTTACAGCTCCATACAGCTCCAGAATGCCTGGGTGTCGGCCTGACAGGTGACCCCAAACCTGCACTTCATTTAAGTCAAAACTGCTTTCAGGGATCTACAAAAGAAATGTCACTACAATGTTATGCACGTGATATAGTGAATAGATGATCATCAGTAACGTGTATTTAATTGTATTTGATTACATGGGTTGCTGTTATCCTATACCTGCAGACTGAATAATTAGTGGCTACAGTTAGTTAGTGGCTGTATATGTGCAGTTCAATCCTCACTTCTTTCAAAGTCAAGACCATATCTAGTGAACAGTAACAGCTATAAAGAGAAATGTTTTAACCCAGGAAACATTTCATACACTGTAAGTAGGTGGTGTATAATCGTGCTGGTGAGTGTTGTCCTGAATACATAACTGTTGACAACCTCATTCCCAGGGTTCTCTCCTACCTGCCCCTCTCTCCCTCTCTCGCTCTGTAGGGCAGGTAGGAGAGAACCCTCAGAATGAGGTTGAACTGTTGATGGAATCATAACTGAATTTTCTACTGTTGAATTGTAGTCAAGAGTTACTGGGGCTATACAAATGACTCCAGATAACCGTGAATTTGACAAACAAAAGTAAACAGCTGTTTAATTGTGACAAACGATTGATCGGAACTTGCAAATGACATTTAAAGTCATCCTATCTAATGAAATCACAGCTTAACAGTGTGACTTAAAATGATAAATTAGGTTGATAACCCCATGATACAACTCACTTTAACTCTGAAGATGACTACCGCACAGGTTGTCAAAACAACAGTTATGTGTACCATCAACAACAGTCCTACTCAGAACTGCGAACACCCAGACGATTACACATGCATATATTCCACCTATTATAACTTATGGATTAGGATTATTAATGAAATCTTAACCAAGAATATAATAATGAAACACAAAAGCCATAGTCACCAAGTGTAATAACAGAGATATTTAGGAAAAATGAGCCGTACCTCTTTAATGGCAAATAGGAAGTTGAAGTTCAAGTCAATACACAGATAACAACGGCCACAAGAACCACCACCGATGTGACGTTCACGTGCCCAGTGGACCTTCTCCACATAACATCCATCCTCACCAACACTCAAATGTTCCTAAAAATAATCAATAAATACAGATCAATGATGGATTTCTTACTTAATAACTACTTATTAAAATTATTCAGGCAAAACCAAGATTTGGTCAAATTTTAGAATACTCCATGCACTGCATAACCTTAGCGAAGGAAAGAAAAGAAGGAAAATGGTAACTCTAAGGTCATGTTTTAGTCGTGTTTAGCATGTCAACACTCTATTTAAAAACTGTTGATTGGTCACTTACCACGCAAACAAAACAATGACAAAGGAATGTTGTTTTTGGTTGAGCAGGCATTTGTGGGGAGGAATGAAAAACAAGCTCCCCCAAAAACGCCTGCGTGGGAGGCTATCCGATAGGGTACAATGATAAATCAGAAATTATGCAACATTTTCAGGGCATATTGTACGTTAGGAAAGGTTGATTAATAAATGTGATAAATGATGCAAATTTAACCTTGTTTTACTAGAAGTTTCTCTTTTAGTGAACTTGTTCAACAGACAATTTGAGTTTGAGTGTACCAAAAATTTAATACAAAACCAACTATTTTAGAACAAGATAGTTAAATTTCACGTATTAACTCAACTAAAATAAAAAGATAATAAAAAGGAAGAAAAAGGACACTTTCTAATATTACACATGTACATGACCCAGCAGCGCTGGCCATGTTTATGAAATAATTGGCAAAATGGCTGCCCAACGAACACTTAATACTTTATACTTGTAATATTTGGGCATTAATGTACACAAAATTACATTCAATTTCACATTTACAAGTAAAGTACCTTAAACTTCAAGGGATTTTGGCACTATAGAAACTGTAATAAGATTGTAATAATATTTTTATTAATATATCCATAATTTTATTGTATTTGTCATTGGAATATGATTGTATTATTGGTTTGTGGCTACAATATTTCACGTGCTCTGATTGGCTGTTTTCTTGTAATGACCTGGCATTACTAGCCACAATCAGCGACAAAATGAGTTGAGACACTTCACCCTAAACTGTTTTTTTTTTTACGTTTAACTGACTTCAAAAGGGGGAAATATAGCTTTTCCTTCCCCATCCCCTCCATGCAATGTTGTGCCACTGTTCGAGCTACCTATAGAAGACAACAAACACCCAACTTTGAATGGAGGGGCAGGGTGCAAAGAAAGCCATTTTTACAGCTTACCATTCAGGCAAGATGAAGCTAACATTTACTAGCCCAAACATCATTTCAGCTAGCCCCAAAATCGTTTTGATGAGCAGATTGATTTCACAGTTCTTCTGTAATTTGAATTTCTCAAAAAACTTAACTTGCCTGTTGGGCAAGTTAATAACAGAATTCAGTAGCCCGATAGCAAAATCCACTAGCCCTGGGCTATCAGACACTACTTTCTTTGCACGCTGAGGGGACAGAGGAGGGGTGTGGATTCTTTTTTTATCTGAAGTTACTCTATTTGAGTACAATTTTGTCACTGTTTGTAGGTGTCCAAGGTATATACAATCTGTGTTTAACTTGTATCACAGGTTCAGGTGTACAACTCATTGAGGTGACATTTTTTTTTAGGTTATCTGCAGATCAGTTGTTGGTTTTAATTCATCGCAGGCTCAGGTCCATAATGAAAAGGGCATATAAAGAATAACTTATTAACATCTTGCATTCTGTTATTACAGCAAAATATCAGACCTCGATGTATTGACCGTTTCCTTGAAATGAACTCACTCTTGGTTAATAAGTAGTATATAACGTTGGTTTAATGAGTCGATTGAACCTACTTAACTAGGTACTCACTTACTCATTATTCAAAAGTGTTGATTTCATTACCTTATTAAGGGGCCAAATGATCTCCTGCCTGAGAATGATATTTTCAGCAGCTTGGCTAGTTCCCGGTACACATATGGCACTCAATGGCGCAGCAGATGTGTCGCTCTCATCTTCTTCAACCCCAGGACCACGGGCGACTGTTACATGTGCTTCTGACAAAGTGTGGGTGTTTTCAAATGGTTGAGGGAAGTCTGGAGGGCGATCGAGATGATACTGGCTCCACACCCCTTGTGTTTCCCGTGCAGAATTCTCATTTGCACTTTTAAGGCTGCTCAGATTAAGGGCGTCTCCTTGGGAGGATTCCACTTGATCATCAGTTTCATCTTCCCTGGGAGAGAAGTCAGGTTCATTTTGAAGCACAGTGGGTGATCTAGGTGGACTTGGTCTAAAGAACAGTTGATCAAGCTTGCGGGACCAGTGGCGATTAACAGGGATGTCGGTTCTTTCCTTGTACCTCCTGATGTCATCACACTTCTCAATAACACATGCTCCTCGTGGAAGCTTACAACTTGAAGCATGAGAAAGTAACATATTTTTTAAACGAATACAACGGCCACAACCTCCTAATACGCGCATGTGACAATTCTGCGAATGGGCCAAAAGTTGCTGGATTGTTTGGCAGGAGAGGTCACTGCATTCTTCCCAAGTACCCATGTTGCGATGACGGCATGCAAAGGCCTTCTGTAAGTGCACTTCGGCCTCTGCCTCTTTCCCTATATCCTCTCCTGGAAGACTGTTCATAGCCTACAGATAATAGGATTTAAATGTTAAAGGTTAGGATGAATATTATTTTTAAACTTACGTAATAAAAAACTGAGTGTACATTAAGCTGCTGTAAATACTCAAATTAGTGTCCTCCTTCAAATTAGCCCCCCCCCAAACCATTGAATCCAAAACCATAAATAAGCTCACCCCTTTAAACAATGACTTGGAATCTTGCTGATATGAAAAATTGACAGAGCACATAACAATAATCTTACACCCTACATTAGAGAGGAAATGCAGTTAAGGGAGATATTTTATGGCACTTTGATTTTCCAACAAAGTAGTGTGATTTGTATTGGCCACCACGTTGGATGGCATAAATGTACTCTTGCCCTCCAACATGGCGGTCAAATAAAACTACTCTTTGTTTGTATCTTGTTAAACATTTGATTGTTATGCTCAGATGTGCTGTAAACGTTAACACATTATTGTTTCACTGATCCACTAATCGTTTTTCAAAGGTAAAATCATATAACTTTTTTTTAATCACAAAAACATGTCACATGACATCTTAGTGCAAATTGCTTATTACACTGTAAATAAGGATAACAGCCACATGAACTACTAAATCTGCCACATCTTAAAACTTGTCAGTTACCTGATACGTGCTAGTATGAGGTTGTGAGATTCCCCTGGCCATAATGACATCAAGCTTTAATTCCTAATGATTACACAAAGATAACTGAGTAAATCATCAAAAAAAAGGTTACGACGGAATCCATCTGGGAATTGAGTAATTTTAATTTTCAGTGAACAAAAACCTTGTACCAGAATATTTTAAACAATATCACATTCTTTTTACAGATGTAATATTAGTTAGTTCTGTGATAACACCAAAGAAAGTTTCTCGTGACAGCCTGAGAAAATAAATGTCAAATTTCACAAAATGACATCTAACACATGAAATTTTTACCAGGGTTTTCACAGTCTTTGGTTTTATTACAGATAACTACATGAAATTATACCTTTTGCCCTTGAAAAAAGTAAAAAAGAATATAATATTCTTTAAATCATTCTGGTACCAGGTGTTTGTCCACTGAAAATTGAAATTACTCAATTTCCTGATGGATTCCATCTTAATACTTCATCTACAAAATCAGGCATTCTATCATGATTATTATTCGTTGAGTAATCACCAAAGGTTCAAACAATATTATGATAATCATCAACACACTAGAAGAACTGCAAAATGATTCCAGTGGCAGTGTACAGACACATAATTGACTATACAATTTTTTATTACACTGCACTATTAATTCTTTGTTACTGTTCCATAAATGTTTTGAACGATTTTTAGAATGTCTGATTCTCACTGGGTTCATACAGA